TAGACTTCTCGAAGATGTGATGAAGTGCCATATCAAATGCAAGGATTATTATTGTTATTATTAAACATTCTTAACATCAGACTTTACGAATAGCCAAATGTGCTAAACATCTGTGATCCTTTTGTCTCAGGTATCTGTCCCTTTAAACAGCAGTTGGTCTGTGATCCCCACCCACAAAGCCACGTCCTGGTTTGGGTAAAGGTGAAAGTCCCAAACAGAGCAAAGAGCTGATGGTGAAATAGCGTCTGTACAGGAACTGGAGAACCTGAGAAACTAAGCCACGTGTTCAATCTGTCTGGAGTTTTACACAGATTCGGCGACTATAGACTGTGGCCACAACTTCTGCAGAGACTGAATTTTACAGTGTTGGGGCACAGGGCAAGAAAGTGTGTCCTGTCCACAGTGCAGGCAGCAGATTCCCCAGAGGGGTGTTCGGCCCAACAGAACTCTGTCTAACATTGTAATGAGTGTTCAGAGACTGAGCCTGAATCCGAGGCTGGAAGAGGTGGGAATCCAGTGTGAAGAGCATGAGGAAAAGCTGAAACTGTTTTGTGAAATGGATCAAAGAGCAATATGTGTGGTCTCTGCAGTGTCCCATGATCACAAGGATCACACAGTCATTCCCATTAAGGAAGCTGCTGAGCTCCACAAGGTATGGAATTGATAATAATCCTGAAATTTCAGGTAGCGTCAGGAGTGCTTCAGAATATACTCTGAACATAGGACACAGGAGGAAACCATTCAGGTCTTGAAGCCTGTTTGCCAATGTATTAGATCATGGCTGATCTGTCCTTCAACTGTAAATCTCCACCTTTGCCCCATATCCGTTGATATCCTGACCTAACAAAAATCTTATCCACCTCAGTCTTAATCCACTGACTTTTGGGGCAGAGAGTTCCAGATTTCCACAAACTTTTGTGTTGAAAAATATGCTTCCTGATTTCACTGATGAAGGCCTAGTTCTAACTATAATATTATTCCCCTTGTTCTGGATTCTGTCACCAGCAGAAATACTGTCTCTGTAGCTGCTCTATTGAAATCCCTTATTATTTTAAACACCGCAATCAGTTCAGCCCTCAACCTTCTAAACTGAAGGGAATACAGACCAGGTTTATGGAGCCCTAAAGTGACCTGACTGTGAGCACAGCTGCCTATTTGCACACACCAATGTCCCACAACTTCCTGCCTCAGGCGCCACAATCTGATCCACTGAACCAGGTGTTTAATATGTAAGATTGGTTTGATGACCAATTTAAAGTTTAGTTTAGCAGATGAAGCTTTGGCAATGTGGTTTTACTTTATATGTGACGTATCAGGAAAGAGATGATATTGTGTACAGCTCGACACTGAGCAGGAATCTCGGCGGACTCTGGGTCAGAAGATTGTGTGTTCAAGCCCTGGTGTTGGCTGACTTGCTGACGGCATATTAGATAAATCAAGAAGTTCTGAGTGGACTCACCATCTGGCTGTGTTGATCGAGTGGAACAGAATATTACAGCTCTGACACACAAGTGGAATATTCTAAACCAGTAATAATGATTCTGTCCCTTCTCCCTGTTAACTTACATTCACTTTGTTTCAGCAAAAGCTGCAGAAAGCCCTGGAAACTCTTCAGAAGCAGTTGGATGAAATGTCTCAGTGTTAGAGAGAAGAAGGAACTACTCAACTGGAAGTGAAGGTGAGGGGTTTGTATATCACCTATGGGCCCATCCCTTTGATATTGCTGTCTGATAATCTTTCCCGCTCCTTTCAGCCAGGACCACCCTACAGATTAGGGCTTGGTATCGCAGTGTTAACAGGAGATGAATAGGTTTACTCACTGCCCACAGTGACTTGTTTGCCTATCCAGTCCTGCTGATGAACCAGGCTGGGCTGTACTGTTATCAACAGTGTTCTGGGATACTGCGGACCGGCCTGGCTCAGGAACTGGACAAGACCGTTCACAGAGTCCTGGCCCGATGCCGCCATTCCATTGCCAGACAGGTCACCTTGGAGCTAGTTCAGTTCAGGAGACCTCGCTACCCACCCACTCAGGAGGATATCACCAGGTTCTCGGGCAATGTTAACGTTGTGTTTATTGTGACAGAGACAAGCCGAGCGTCTGAGGAAGAACATCAACGCTGAATTTGCTAAACGTCACCAGCTGCTGACTGAGGAGCAGCGAGACCTGATCACCAAACTCAGACAGCAGGAGGAGGCCATCTTAGTCCAAATAGGAAACAATAAGAGCCACATTTCCAAGCAAATTACTTCTATTAACCAGAGAATAGCAGATATCGAGAAAAGACTGACTCTCCAGAACACCGAATTCCTGAAGGTATGTGGGCTGTGGTGCGATAGACAGATAGTGGGTTTGTTAATGCTGGTGTGTGTCTGGTGTGATAGACAGACAGGTGACGGTGTTAAAGCTGAATTTACAAAGAGATGCAGCCCTGGCCATAACGCCGACCTGACACTGACCCTCTGACACTGACCCCTGACAGGGGTGAGGGTGGCCAATCAGAGAGAGGGCTGAGGCTGACCAATCAGAGAGAGGGTACGGGGTTACCGGGCGGAGAGTGGAGGTTACGCAGGAACACAGAAACAGGAGGAGGCCATTCAGCCCCTCGAGCCTGTTCGGCCATTGTATAAGATCACGGCTGATCTGTACCTCAACCCCAGTTACCGGCCTTTGCCCCGTATCCCTTAACACCCCGACCTGACCAACATCTCCCCACCTCCGTCTGGACAGTGTGAATGGATCCAACCATAATCCACAGCCTTTTTGGGAGAGAGTTCCAGGTTCCCATTGACCTTTGGGTGAAAAACTGCCCCTAATTTCACCCGTAAATGTTCCGGCTCTAATAATAAGATGATGCCCTCCTTGATCTGGATTCTAATTTCTCTGTATCTACGCTATCAAATGTCTCTGTCATTTTAAAATCCTCAATCAGATCACCCCTCGTCCTTCTACACTGACGGGAATAGAGACCAAGTTTCTGTAACCTGTTATTGTGATTTAACCCTTTAAGCCCCGGGACTTCCTCCCGATGTGAAAGGCGTTATATACAAATGTCATTTTGTTTTGTGTTTTGTTGGTATCACAATAAAACGGACGGATGTACAATCTCTCCATGTGACGTGCGAGGCTGTGATGTCAGGATTGGATGTGATGAGATGTGAGACACGACACAGAATGAGGAACAGATGCAGGAGACTCCATACTGCGGTGTCACAGGGCGGGACAGTTTATATGGAGTTGTCACTGTTAATATCAGACTATATGGCGTTGTCCCTGTTAATATCAGACTATATGGATGTGACACTGTTTATACCACACTATACAGAGGTGTCACTGTCAATATCAAGCTATATGGATGTCTCTCTCTCTCTATATGCCTTTATTTCTGTATCTCTTTCTCTGACTGTTGTTCGGTATCTCTGTCTCTCTCTTAGTCTCTGTCTCTCAAGGTCTCTGTTGCTGCCTCTCTATGTTTCTCTGTGTCTCTCTATCTGCCATTCTCTGTTTCTCTCTGTGTCTCTCTCTGTATCTTTCTCTCTCTCTCTGTGTCCCCCCGGTTCCTGAGCCAGGCTGAGCCCACAGTCACTGTCTGCCACAGAGCGGCCCAGCCTGGCTCAGCAGGACTGGGAGGAACAGACCAGACCCTGGGACAGGGACTCTTCCCACTCAGTTCCTGTTGTGGGGTCCTGTAGCTTATTGGTTACTGCACTCGCCTCACAGGAGGACCCTGGTTTTATCCCTGAACAGGGTGAAAAGTTGGGCAAGTTTCCTTATTTCACACCACTCCTCTGTTTACCTGGCAGCAAGTAGGAACCCAGGTGTTAGATCACTTTCCAGGGTTAATAATACCTTCAAATTAAATAATAATTTGGTTATTCAATCCATGACACACGCGCACACACACACAGACAGACAGACAGCAGGCAGACTGTTAATATCAGTCTATATAGAGGTATCACTGATGACATACATAGACATGTACACACATTTACAAACACACACAAACTCACACATGTACATACACACATACAATCTCTCACACACACAAACAGACAACCACACATACACACTCACATTCAGACATACTACACAGCTTAGCTGCCCTCAACCAGAAACAACAACAACTTGCACTTATATAGCGCACTCCATGTAGGGCAGCGTCCCAGAGCTTAACAGTGATGGAGCCTGACTCCAAGCCGGGGGAGGGATTGGCGGAGGTGGCTGTAAGCACAGTCGAGAAGGAAAATTTTCAAGTAGAATTTTAAAAAGGGGAGTGCGGGGGCAAAGCGGAGGGATTGAGCGAGAGTGTTCCAGAGATTTCTGGCGTAGTGACTGAAAGCGCGACCTCCGATGACAGAGCGGAGAGTGCAAGGGACGCGAATGAGGCCGGTGCCAGTCGACAGTAGGCGCTGACTGGGTGATGGATTGGGGAGGTCGGAGAGGGAGGGAGGTGCCAGGGAGTGAAGGGCGAGAGTGAGAGGACCTTGAGGTTGGTCGGTTTGGTGATGAGGAGCCCGTGGGGCCCGGGCCAGAGCTGCTGAGAGGTGGGGACGGAGTTTGGTTGGGGTCAGTCTGCGGGCGGCAGAGTCTGAATGAGCTGATCTTGTGAATGGTGGCGCGGGGGAGACCGGCGAGGAGTGGGTTGGAGGAATCCGGGCGGGAGGTGACAAACACGTGCCCGAGGGTTTCGGCCGCAGTCGGGGTCCGGGACGGTCGGAGGCGCGCAATGTGGCGGAGGTGGAGGAAGGTGGTCCTGGTGGGGGACGGGATGTGGGGGAGGAAGGACGGTGGGGGTCGAGCCGGACCCCGGGGTTGGGCACTGGTTCGGGGAGTCTGAGGGAGAGTCCGGGGCGGTTGAGGAGCTCAGATCCTCAGGAGTGAAGGCGGTGACGGGAGCCGAGGAGTATGGCTTCCGTCTTGTCCACATCCAGCGGCAGGAAGTCTGCGCTGATCCGGGCCCTGAGTGAGCGCGAACTGATCAGAGAAACACAGAGAGAGATTGACTTTCACGAGTTTTATTAATTATCTGATCACTCGGAATGTGTGTGAGAGACCGAGAGAGAGAGACTGAGACCCACACGCGCTCACACACCCACACGCTCTCACACTCCGTCTCACTGACCCGATCCGCCATCAGCGCCGAGTTGTCCCGCCTCTCGGGGCCGCTCCCTCCCCGACTGCTCAACCCCCCACTGCCGCCGCCGCCGCCATGTCCGCGCTTCTCCTCCTCCTCCAACCGTCACTCCCCTCCCGCCCACTCGCTCCCCATTGGTCCTTTCTGAACACCCGCCCCCTCAATTGGATCGTCCCATTGGTCCGCCGAGATGTCAATGTGACCCGTTGCGCTCTGATAGGCCCCGCGGTCAGTGTCGGGGGTTCAGTGTCAGGTCAGTGTGACACCATGTGCTGAAGTACGGGAAGAGTTTCCCAGTGAACGTGTGGGTGAAAGTGAAGAGGTGAGACATGTGTTCAGCGTCGTACAGCGACACCTGTCCTCCCGCATAGTCCAGGTACACGCCCAGCACCCGGGGGGTCACCCTCAGGGGGAGGGGGGTACGAGGTGAGGTTAGAGCTTTATATTCCCCATTGTACAGCCTCACAGCCCAGACTCCAGTCTCAGGTCCATGTGTGAACCACCTCTTCCTGGGCACAGACTCTCGGGCCACCCCCACTATCCAGTATGTGCTGTTCCCCACCTCCACCTCCCAGTAATGTCTCCCTGATGTGAACCCCTCAGACCCCAGGACACTGGGCCAGAAACTGAACCTCTCCGGGGTGTCAGGAAGCTGCTGTTCTCTGTCACCGAGTCTCACTCGGGTCCGGTCCTCAGACAGGATGAGCCGGGGATGGGCTGTGTTAGGATCCAGAGTCAGAGAGGCTGGAGCTGAAACAGAGAATGTTGACATGTTGGAGATCGTGTGGTGAACGGTTGACATTATATTTCAATGGTTCATTCAGTGAGGTTTGGATTCCTGCTCTGTGTGTCTCAGGTTACATGTGGGACACCAGTAATGTCTGGCTGTGACCCGGGGCCCGGCCACCGCAGGGCTGAGGTGGGCTGAGCTCCCAATGATCTTATTCAGCATTCCCGACCGAGGGGATGAGGAGTGAGAACAAGACATTTACTGCACATCTATTCCCAGAGTCAGACTCCGATCACAGGAACACAGTAAGAGCCAGTGTTACCTGCAGTGATGCCCTTTAAAAGGAGTTTCCACTCTCTGCTCTGCAGAGGTCCAATGAGGTCCCTCTCAGCCACATCAACAGACACTTTTGTGGGTTTCTTGATGTCAACACCAGACCTGGGCACAGATAGAGATTTGTTTAATTAAATTCAGACACAACATCGATGACTCAGGTGAGATTTTCACCATCACCACAACTGTGGAGACCTGTTCCTCAGTGGTTAGAGCGCTCGCCTCACAAGCCAGAGGACTCTGGTTCGATTCCCGGGTAGGACAAAACATTAGGTAAGTTTCCTTACTTCACACCTCACTACTTTCCTACTTACACGTAGTAAGGACCAAGTTGTTCGTCGATTGGCGGATCAATTTTCCAGGGATAATTACATTTTTTCTTCGGGACACTGCTGTGCGCAATGGACTGCATTGTTTCTCCCAAAATATATATAATCAGTTCCCTTTATGGCATATTCTATTAAGATCTGATAAAGAACTCTATCAAATGATAGGATTATTATTATCATCACAATTCCCTGTAGAATTTGAAGATAGATTGGACATATATAATGTTCTGGGCTCTCTCACACAAATGTTTCTCTATGACTATTAGCACTTTCTGCTACACAAAGCGATTAGGGAATGTCACTAACTAGATGGACGTAAGGAAAGATTACAGAACTGTCAATGATGGATTTGATATCCTGAAGAAAGAAAAGTAAGGAGAGTTAGAGTCCATCTTGCACACAGCCATCGAGATGAATTTGTACAGGTATTAGGCAGCTTAATGCTGTGATTCATGTTAAATTAAAATAAACTGATAATTCATCTCTCCAAGGGAACAAGTCTCAGTCACAAGATGTCAGGAATGGCCAGTTAGGCATATGTATAAATCCATAAATAAATGAGGTCGGGATAGTTGAGAAGGTGATGACGTCAGAGGTCGTGACAAGTTAAGTCAGTGTCATGTTATCAGCAATCTACTGTTTTAATGAATTAAAACTAAATTTCTGATCTGAGTTACAGCAGATTGTAGTAACTCAATCATATCAGCTTTTCATAGATTCACAAAATGTTACAGCACAGAAGGAGGCCATTCAGCGCATCGAATCTGTGGGGCTCTTTGACAGAGCGTCATTTTCACTAAAACCCGTCCTCCCCCAAAACAAACACAAACACACACAATCCTTCCCCTTCGTCTACATCTCTTTCTAAATTCAGCATTAACACCGTCACCTGCCTGTCTATCACACCAGACACACAGCCTATGCACCTTCAGGAATTCGGTGTTCTGGAGAGTCAGTCTTGTCTGGATTTCTGCTATTCTCTGATTAATAGAAGCAATTTGGTTGGAAATGTCACTCTTATTGTTTTCTATTTGTCCTAAGATGGCCTCCTCCTGCTGTCTGAGTTTGGTGATCAGGTCTCGCTGCTCCTCAATCAGCAGCTGGTGACGTTGAGCAAATTCAGCGTCGATGTTCTTCCTCAGACGCTCGGCTTGTCTCTGTCACAATAAACACAACGTTAACATAATCCGACACAAGAACAGGGGCTCGGCCTGTCAGTCACGGTTACATTGCCCATGAACCTGGTGATATCCTCCTGAGGAGGTGGGTAGCGAGGTCTCCTGAACTGAACTGCTCCAAGGTGACCTGCCTGGCAATGGAATGGCGTCATCGAGAGAGGCCTCTGTGACGGTCTCTTGTCCAGTTCCTGGGCCAGGCCGGTCCACAGTATCCCAGGGCACTGCTGATAATGCCACAGCCCAGACTGGCTCATCGACAGGACCTGGATAGGCAGGTGAGTCACTGTGGGCAGTGAGTAAACCAACTCATCTCCTGCTAACTCTGCAATATCAAGCCGTAACCTGCAGGGTGGTCCTGGCTGGAAACAGCGGGAAAGCTTGTCACACAGCAATATCAATGGGATGGGCTATATCAGAGCTGATATACAAACCCCTCACCTTCACTTCCAGTTGAGTAGCTCCTACTTCTCTCTGACACTGAGACATTTCATCCAACTGCTTCTGAAGGGTGTCCAGGGCTTTCTGCAGCTTTTGCTGAAACAAAGTGAATGTAAGTAAACAGGGAGAAGGGCCAGAGTCATTATTGCTGGTTTAGGATATTCCACTTGTGTGACAGAGCTGTAATATTCCTTTCCACTCGATCAACACAGTCAGATGGTGAGGCCGCTCAGAACTTCTGGATTTACCAAACATGCCGTCAGCAAACCAGCCAACACCAGGGCTCGAACACACAACCTTCTGACCCAGAGGCCGGCGAGATTGCTGCTCAGTGACCGGCTGTACACAATATCATCTCTTTCCTAATATGTCACTGGAATGCAACAGCACATTGACAAAGCTTCATCTGCTGGACTAAACTTTAACTTGGTCAGCAAACCAATCTTGCATATTAAATGCCTGGTTCAGTTGATCAGATTGTGGCCTCTCAGTCAGGAGGATGTGGGACATCAGTGTGTGCAAATAGGCAGCTGTGTTCACAGTCAGTTCACGTTAGGGTTGCATTACCCTGGTCTGTATTCCCTTCAGTTCAGAAGGTTCAGGGCTGATCTGATTGAGGTGTTTAAAATAATAAGGGATTTCGATTGAGCAGCTACAGAGACAGTATTTCTTCTTGGACAGAATCCAGAACAAGGGGAATAATTTTATAGTTAGAACTAGGCCTTCATAAGTGAAAGCAGGAAGCATTTTTTCGACACAAAAGTTTGAGGAAATCTAGAACTCACTCCCCCAAATGTCAGTAGATTAAGGCTGAGGTGGATAGATTGTTATCAGGTCAGGGTATCAAGGGATATGGGGCAAAGGTGGGGATTTACAGTTGAAGTACAGATCAGCCATGATCTAATGCATTGGCAAACAGGCTTCAAGGCCTGAATGGTCTCCTCCTGTGTCCGATGTTTACAGTGTATTCTGAAGCACTCCCGACGCTGCATGAAATTTTAGTATTATTTTCAATTCCATACCTTGTGGAGCTCAGCAGCTTCCTTAATGGGAATGACTGTGTGATCTTTGTGATCACGGGACATCGCACAGACCACACAGATCGCTCTTTGATCCATTTCACAAAACAGTTTCAGCTTCTCCTCATGCTCTTCACACTGGATTCCCACTTCTTCCAGCCTCGGATTCAGGCTCAGTCTCCGAACACTCTCAACCATGTTAGACAGAGTTCTGTTGGGCCGAACACTCCTCTGGGGAATCTGCTGCCTGCACTGCGGACAGGACACGCTTCCTTGTCCTGTGCCCCAACACTGTAAAATACAGTCTCTGCAGAAGTTGTGGCCACAGTCTATAGTCACCAGATCCGTGTAAAACTCCAGACAGATTGAACAAGTGGCTTCATTTCTCAGGTTCTCCAGTTCCTGTACAGACGCCATTTCACCATCAGCTCTTTGCTCTGTTTGGGACTTTCACCTTTACCCCAAACCAGGAAGTGGCTGTGCGGGTGGGGATCACAGACCAACTGCTGTTTAAAGGGACAGACACCTGAAGACAAAAGGAACACAGATGTTTAGCACATTTGGCCATTCGTAAGGTCTGATCTCAGAATGTTTATTAATAATAATGATAATCTTTGCATTTAATATAGCACTTAATCACATCTTCGAGAAGTCTAAAAGCGCTGCTACTGTAAAGTTAATTTTAATGACTACAACAGTGTAATAATCATAATAGTAATAACCCTTGCTTATTATTTTGTGCCTGATCACATCTTTGAGACGTTTCAAAGCGCTACACAGAATATCATATTTGGTCGGCGAAACGTGGAAGACAATTGCACACAGCAGTTTCCCACAGGAAATCGGGATTGATTGACCAAATTTTATTTATTTATTAAAAATACTGAAGGATTTTTGAAGGATTATTAGTCCCAGAAAAGTGATCTGTCCACTGACTAACAATCAGGTTTCAACTTACTGCTCGGTAAACAGAGTCATGGGGTAAGGAAACTTGCCCAAAGTTTCGCATTGCTGGGAATCGAACCCAACTCCTCTGACAAGTGCTGCAAACATTACCCTAAAGGACCCCACAATAATACAATTCAACTTCATTTTATCAATCAATAGCTAATGAATAAAAGTACACAAAGCATTTAATGAACATCTGAAGCAAATAAAGTCGTGACTACGAACAGAGAGATTCTGAAGCAATCAGTTTCTCTTCTCTGATTGTTCCACAGTCTAAGTCCCTGACTTTTGTTTCTTCAACTTCATTTCATTTTATAAATCAAACTGACAAACTCCATTTCTCTATAGGTTAGTCACTATTTTATCTGCTTAATATTGTTTAACAACTATGTGTACTTCAATATAAGAACATGTCGTAATTAATCAATATTTATATATTGTTAAACACAACAGAAGCTGTAATCGAGTCGGAAACCATGACCTTTCCCCGGGATAGTGTCCTCAGTGTCCGATCGTCTCTCCCTCTTTCTCAAACAGGATCTGCTGCTCTCGGCCTCACCTCCACTGGTCGGTGGTGTTTGGAGCTCAAACCCTCACCGGTCGCTCCACACTCCATGTCGCCGCTTCTGTTCCCTCAGACCTGATGGCCTGTGCTGGTCAGCGTGAGCGAAGGTAAAGCCACCGCGGTCTGACCCGGGGCTGAGCTCCGCTTCTGAGCACATGTCCCATTTTCCCGGGAAGACGGTCGTCTCTCTGGGATTCCAGTCATCGGGTCCTCGAGCGCAGACGCTGTTGTTGTTGAACGGCCGTCAGACGGAGAAGGCCACAGCCTCAGACACCGCTCACCTCAGGGCTGAGAAACAAGCAGCGGGGGACGGGGGGACAGACGGGGAGGCGCTGCCCACCAGTGCTCCATCTCTCTCTCTCTCTGCAAAACAGCTGCTCCCGGTCACCAGCAGCTCGAGAAGGTGCGGCCACAACGCCATTTCCCACCAGAAACAAACTGCAGACAAAAGGCAGGAAAACTGGGATTCAGTGACGGGGGGAGACGGCGTTACACACTCACACACACGCTCTCTCCTGCCTCTTGTGGGGAGAGCACATCCCAACCTGATTGGTTACTGTGGGTAAAGCCCCGGCCAATCACACGGCACATGTTCCCTGGTGCTCTCGCTGATTGGCTGACAGTATTGGGTGTGTTTACCTGCAATGGTCAAACCCCAACAGCTCTCAATGTGATTGGTGCAAACTCTCAGCTTTGGCTCCAGTTCCTTCCTGGTCCCCAATTAGAAGCCACTGCACATTCCCGGTGAACAACCGGAGGCCTCGAGGGCAGCAGCGGCTCAGGATCTCTGCAGCGTTAGTGTTTTACTGTCACTTTTTCCTGACATTGGGCTGTGAGTTCAGTCTAACCCGAGGGGGGGCCCGAGCTCTGTGATAGAGGGCAGAGTGGGAGCCGCTGAACCGAGCGAACCCCCACAGCGAAGGAGACGGGAATAAAAGAGCAGCGCCTGAAACAAATGGGAAGCTTGATGTTGGTTGGACGGACCAATGGGGAGCGAGTGAGTGGGGAGACAGTTAGGGTTGGAGAGCGAGCGAGCGGGTGGGGAGAGATTGAGGGTTGGAGAGCGAGCGAGCGGGTGGGGAGAGAGTGAGCGAGCGGGTGGGGAGAGAGTGAGCGAGCGGGTGGGGAGAGAGTGAGCGAGCGGGTGTGGAGAGAGTGAGCGAGCGGGTGGGGAGAGAGTGAGAGTTGGGGAGAGAGTGAGTGGGTGGGGAGAGAGTGAGCGGGTGGGGAGCGAGTGAGCGGGTGGGGAGCGAGTGAGCGGGTGGGGAGAGTGTGAGCGGGTGGGGAGAGAGTGAGCGGGTGGGGAGAGAGTGAGCGGGTGGGGAGAGAGTGAGCGGGTGGGGAGAGAGCGAGCGGGTGGGGAGAGAGCGAGCGGGTGGGGAGAGAGCGAGCGGGTGGGGAGAGAGTGAGCGAGCGGGTGGGGAGAGAGTGAGCGAGCGGGTGGGGAGAGAGTGAGCGAGTGGGTGGGGAGAGAGTGAGGGTTGGAGAGAGAGCGAGCGGGTGGGGAGAGAGCGAGCGGGTGGGGAGAGAGTGAGCGGGTGGGGAGAGTGAGCGAGTTCGCGGGGGAGGAGGAGAGACGGTTAATTTTGTGACCAATTGACAACATCCTCGACCGATGAGAAACTCGGATGGAGGGGTCGGGTATTGTAACGGGACTGCGAGCGCGGACTGGAGAGGCAGAGAGCCCGACCGACTGACCGGCGCCGCGCACAGCGACTTGGCCGCAAAGCAGTCACTACACCTCACCGCGTATCCCGCGAAGCCCTTTCGAGACGTCTCGATGACGCGATGAGCCGCGGTGTCAAAGGCCGGGATTATGATGGCTGTGGTTGTGATGATGGCCTGTGCTGGTCAGCGTGAGCGAAGGTAAAGCCACCGCGGTCTGACCCGGGGCTGAGCTCCGCTTCTGAGCACATGTCCCATTTTCCCGGGAAGAGGGTCGTCTCTCTGGGATTCCAGTCATCGGGTCCTCGAGCGCAGACGCTGTTGTTGTTGAACAGCCGTCAGACGGAGAAGGCCACAGCCTCAGCCACCGCTCACCTCAGGGCTGAGAAACAAGCAGCGGGGGACGGGGGGACAGACGGGGAGGCGCTGCCCACCAGTGCTCCATCTCTCTCTCTCTCTCTCTCTGCAAAACAGCTGCTCCCGGTCACCAGCAGCTCGAGAAGGTGCGGCCACAACGCCATTTCCCACCAGAAACAAACTGCAGACAAAAGGCAGGAAAACTGGGATTCAGTGACGGGGGGAGACGGCGTTACACACTCACACACACACACTCTCTGTCTCTCACTGACCCGATCCCCCATCAGCACCGAGTTGTCCCGCCTCTCGGGGCCGCTCCCACCCCGACTGCTCAACTCCTCACCGCCGCCGCCATGTCCGCGCTTCTCCCCTCCTCCAACCGTCACTCTCTCCCCGCCCACTCGCTCCCTATTGGTCCTTACACAACATCCGGCGGCCCGATCTGCGTTTGTCAGTGGTCAAAGCTTTTGTCAATCAGACACTGCGCTGTCATAGTCCCGTTTCCACGTCAATCACCCCCTCGCGCTCTCTGTCCAACCGTCACTCTCTCCCCGCCCTCTCGCTCCCCATTGGTCCCCATGAACACCCGCCTCTCAGTTGGAGCTTCCGATTGCTCAGTCGTGTTGTCAATCAGACACTGGCTGTCAGAGGTCCGTTTCCACGTCAATCATCGCCTCTCTTCCCCGCCTCGCGCTCTCTGTCCAACCGTCACTTGCCTCCCGCCCACTCGCTCCCCATTGGTCGTTTCCAACACCCGCCTCCTCAAACGCTTCGATCCATTGGTCCGCTGTGTTGTCAATGTGACTGATGGCGCTCTGATAGGCCCCGTGTCCACGTCAATCATCTCCTCCTCCCCCCCCCCGCCCCGCGCTCCCTGACCAACCGTCACTCTCTCGTCTCTGTTCCTCCCTTTTCTGAAGTGTCTGAAGAGAACAACAACAACAACAACAACAAGATTCCATTTATAAAGCGCCTTTCACGTCAGGAGGACGTCACAAGGCGCTGCACAGTTGGGTCATGACCCGAGCATTGGGGAGATGGTCAGGGTGAGGGGAGGGAAGGGAGGGAGGGAGCGAGGTGGGGGAAATGGTCAGGGTGAGGGGAGGGAAGGGAGGGAGCGAGGAGGGGGGAAATGGTCAGGGTGAGGGGGGGGGAGGGGAGGGGGGAAATGGTCAGGGTGAGGGGAGGGAAGGGAGGGAGCGAGGAGGGGGAAGAGAGTGGAGAGCGGAGCTGAAGGCTGAAGGTCAAAGAGAAAGCTCTTGAGACCGGCCTTGAAGGAGGAAAGGGAGGAAGCGGCGAAGGCACTGGGGGATGGAGTTCCAGAGCCTCGGGGCTGAGAGGCTGAAGGCCCGACCACCGATGGTAGGGCGGTTGGGGCGGGGGACGTGGAGCAGACCAGAGCCAGAGGAACGGAGGGTACGGGCAAGTAGGTAGGGGGATAGTAGGTCAGAGAGGTAGGAGGGAGCGAGGCCGTAGATGGCCTTAAAGGTGAGGATGAGGATCTTGAAATCAATCCTCTGGGGGATGGGGAGCCAGTGGAGGCGAGTGAGGGTGGGTGTGGTGTGGTCGCGGTGTCTGGTGCGGGACAGTACACGAGCTGCAGAGTTCTGAATGACCTGCAGTGTGGAGGGAGGTGGCGGGAAGGCCGGCGAGGAGAGAGTTCCCATAGTCCAGCCTTGAGGTGACAAAGGCGTGGACCAGGGTTTCAGCAGCGTGAGGGGTGAGGTAGTGCCGTAGTCTGGCGATGTTCCGGAGGTGATGGAAGGCGGTACCAGTTGTGGTGCGGATGTGAGGGAGAAAGGACAGCTCAGGGTCGAACAAAACGCCGAGGTTCCTGACTGCTTTGAGAGGTGGAGAGTGCAGCCTTGGATGCTGATGGTGTCAGCGCCTGAGGTGCGGAGGCGCTGACGTGAGCCAATCAGGAGGGCCTCGGTTTTTCGCACGTTGAGCTGAAGAAAGTTGTCACTTGTCCAGGACTCGATGTCGGACAGGCAGCTGTCAGGACATCGGTGGTCGTGGAGTTGAGAGTAGAGGAGGAAAGGTAGAGTTGGGTGTCATCTGCATACATGTGGATGAAGAACTGATCTCCAGTGGTTACGGGGAAAGACTGGTCAATAAGGGCTGAAGAGCTGTGACTGTCCGGGACGCGGCGATCACCATCGCACACACAGACAAGACTCGTTTCCCTTCATAACAGCCCGCAGAGAGCGCGTGTCTGAGCCCCACAGACCCAACAACAACAACAACAAGAACAAAATGACACTGATATCGAGCGCCTTTCACGGCGGGAGGACATCCCGAGACGCTGGACAGGCGGTCGGTCAGGACGCCAGTGGTTCTGGTGTTGAGGGTGGGGGCAGAGAGGTGGAGTTGGGTATCAACCGCGTACAGGTGGGAGTTTACCCCGTGTCTGCGGATGGCGTCACCAAGGGGGGCGCATGCGGAGTGTGAAGAGGAGGCGACCGAGGACAGAGCTCTAAGGAACGCCGCACGAGGCGTACGTGCGCGGGGGCGGGAGGGGACGCCGTTTGCCGCGACCAAGTGGAGGCGGTGTGGAAGGCGGGACCTGAACCGGTCAAGGACAGAATGTTGACACACGAGGCAGTGATGGCGTCTGAGCCGCAGGTATTCACTTCAGGATTGAATCAGTTTCAGCGTTGGATTGAAAACACGCGCCGCCATATTCCTCTCCTCTTGGCTGAATTCTCTCTGTGTCACAGCATAAATGCACGTGTTTGTGGCACTGCTTGAAAGCGGAAGCATTCTTGCGGACTGATACAGGGCATAGAGATCAGGGGTCTGTCACCTGCGTAAGTATAGTCTGCGACTTTCCCATATATCACATATATAACACAGGTCATCCAAAGTAACATGAAACTGCCCGATATAGTGAACAGCAAAACAATAATTTTTTTCCTTTTCTCTGTCTCACGTCATTGCTATTCACATTTTTGTTTTGTCTTAGAAGCCGTCTGCGGATTATGTTGGCCACAATAATGTCTCTGATGGTTAGTACATTGAAGAGCAAAATCAGCAAATACAGAATGAATGGGATGACAATGATGTCGATCCAATTAAGCACTGCCCAAGCAGATGAAGTGTTGAAGGTTACTTTTAGTTTACAGAACCGCGGAACATTGTCTATTGTGAAAAAAGATTCATACGCAAAGAACCAGGGGATGTCGCTCAGACCGCACAGTACACACACAATACCTATAACCAAGGCTGCCGTTCTCTGCGTGCAATATTGTCTTTTCAGATTCTCACTGGAAATAATCAAACAGCGGTCAAATGTGAAGGCGACTGTTAACCAGACAGAGCTGTCGGAAGCTGTGGCAATTAGAGAGGTCCCGAAAGCACATACAGGAGTCAAATACAGAAAACCCAACAAGAAAATACAGATAATTAATCCGAGTTAATATCACATCACTGATAACCACCAGCAAATCCGCCATTGCCATAGCAATCAGGTAACGAGTGCCACAGGTAGGGAGACCAGGATCACAATCGCCAGGAAGTTACCTGTAGAATGATAATTATTAGTCAGACTCCGCATTATTTCTGGCACACACTTATGCTGAAATATATTTAAACTAGATTGAGAATTCTGCATGTACATGACCCATGGAATACATACTCTTCCGACAGGTGGAGTCCTGTAGCTCAGTGGTTAGAGCACTCGCTTTGCAAGCGAGAGACCTGAGTTCAATTCCAGGCAGAGGGCGAAATCTTGGGCAAGTTTCCTTACTCCACACAGAGCCTAATAATAATCCCTCCAAAACCAAAAACAATAATAAATTGGTCATTTTCAATCCACGACTGTTTGTGGGACATTGCTGTGCGCAATTGGCTGCCGCGTTCGCCCACAAATATACAGTCAATTCACTTTACAGTATATTCTGTGAAGCGCTTTGGGACGTCCTCCCGACGTGAAAAGCGCTATATCAAATGCAAGGATTATTATTATTATTATATAACACACCTCAGTATCAGACACAGTTTGCTGAGCAAAAGCTTGGGTACCAATTACTGGAGCTTAACCAACTACAACTGCACACAGTTTTTCAATTGAGAGCATTGCCTGTATGATGTCTATGTTTGTCCAGCTGGTACTGTTGGTGTCTGAGCTTTGGCTTTGCCATAAATGGCCCGAGTGAGAAGTCTGACTGACCCTTCCTAATATGCTGGTAATGATTGAGATCTGTATTACTGCAGACCCATGTGGATCAGGAATCGAAGGAGAGGGTTTGTACAGTGCCACACGGGTTTGATGCCATTTCGAAAATCTGTTGCCAATCACATCGTCTTGGGGCCAGTTCAAGGAAAGCCCACTTTACCTTCCCCCCAAGCACAATTAGCAAAGTGGTCATTTGACATTCATCAAGTCCAGGACCGAGCGCTAAGTAGGTGGGTGGCAATCACGTGGAACACCCTGTGAGCTTCCTGATGGACAGCACCGCTCAACAGGAAATATATTAGAGCTTTGGCACCATTTTCCTGCCCACATCTCAAACACACACATTGAATCATGGTGCCACCACTCGGCAGTGCGGAGCTTGGGCATCAGACGCTTACCTTGAATGCTAGAATTTAAAAGACTGCAGAGCTAAGTTTAAATAACGAGACTTTCCTCAAACCGCTTGTATATTCAAGCAATTGCAAATATATCACTGGGTTTACAGCATTGTATTGGAATAGGTAAGGCAGAGACATTGGGGGTAAACTATGCAATGTTGCTTAACATCTTTTGTTGTGATAAACACATCAACTTGGCTCAGTTGGTGTCACTCTTGCCTCTCCGTTCTGAGGTGGTGAGTTAAAGCCCACGCAAGGCTTTCAAACCGTTGATCAGACTGAAACTCCAGTGCATTGGAAGGTGAGCACTGGATTGTCAGAGGTGTTGTCCTTCAGGTGAGGCAGTAAATGCTCCCAAGTTCCTGGAATGAGGACGAAGATCCCCATGCTCCCATGGTCCTGGAACGAGTTGTCGCCTCCCAGCTGCGCTCTTTCCTCTCCAACCATTCACTATTCGAACCCCTCCTGTCAGGTTTCCGTGCTGCCAATAGCACAGAAACTGCCCTGGTCAAGGTCAGCAATGACATCCTGACCATCTGTGACCAGGGCTCCCTCTGCCTCATCGTCATCCTCGACCTATTGGCAGCATTCGATACAGTCGACCAT